CCCCCCCCCCCCCCCCCCCCCCCAGTAGCTCTTAGGAAGGAAGCCAGTGTAAAGGCATCTGGCTTTAGGGATTTTCAAGAGAGATTACTGGGGAGGGTCACCAAGGGAGAAAGATGTCATTTTCTTAGCATCAATTGTCAGCTGCAAAGTATTAAAAGAGAAGCAGCTGGGAGGGGGGGGGGTTGTCTAGATTAACGGCATTATGCACTTGGCAAGATGGTTTGGGGGGATTTGGTTACAGGACATGAAGAGTCAGTCTACCAGTAGGTTCCCAGGAAGGGGTGTGCAGTAGAAACTCAACTGATTTTAATTTGTAGATACAAGGAGACTTTTGGAGAAGTGGGCTATCTTTAGTTAATTAGGAACAAATGATCAAAACAAGCAGCTTATTCATGTCCCATATTACACCTAAACAAATCATTTTGGTTCCAATAAAATAGTCACTTTCCATATGGCTTAAAGAAGCAAACTGGAGTTTGTTTGTTTTAAGAATTTCTAGATGTAGTCTTGATGGATGGTTGGATAATATTCAGTGTATGAACATTCTTGGGCAGAATATGCTCTAATTCTGTTGCTAATGTGAGATCTAAAGAACTAAACCTACTAATAGAGAAACTTACTCAGGTTTACTTATACCCTTCACTTGGAAAAAACGCCATGGTATGTGGTAAAACCTTATTTCTGAGTAAATTGTGTAGAAATTGTTTTTTCCATCACTGAACTAGGCGCTCTTTCTCTCTCTCTTTTGCATGGTGATCAGTGCTTCTGCAGTTGAGTGAATGGAAGGCAGTGGAATGAGAACAATTTTATTATACATTTTGCATTCCAAAATGGTAATTTATAAACTATTTGAACAGCTTTATTCATTATTGTTCCAATTTTTATAACTTCAAAAATAACCAAAGTATTTTCAACAGAAATGTTTTTTAAAGCATTTACGATATACAAATATACAGAACTAAGACAAGCAAATTGCCATAGTTCTGTATATTTCCTTTCGAGACTCTTGCTCTGTGCTATAGACACAGCCAAGCCAGAGGATGGATCATGAAAAACAAAAACTAAAGTCAGATGCCCATTTTGGCAGAGCAAATTAACATCTACCCATCACTTAGGTTTGAAGTTTGAATCTCTGGATTTCCACTACATTCCTATATTTGCTGAACTCAGAGAGTATTCTCGTGAATTAGGTGGGGCATATCTGGATAGGCATCAGTAGATTTAACTGAGGAAGTCAATTCCAATCCACTGAGGCTTACTTCTGAGTAATTCTTTGGGTTCCAAGCTAAAATCAGTAGAGAAGTGTGCACTAGAAGAAAAATATGAAATCAATTCATGTTACTTTCTTTAATTTGCCAAGGTTATGGCTATGAAAGAATGATTTCTATGTATGTAATAAATGATCTATAATTCAATACTGAAATTACCCAAATGGGGATAGAGGGGCAGGCTAATTTGGCTAAAATGGGATATGTGTTTGTGTTAACAGGACAGGACAGGACCCACAGATAGAATTAAGGACACTTCTATTTTTATCCCATACTTTGAACATTGCTCTAATTTGCACCCCATCAGTCTGAATACAAGTAACATTTAAAAGAAAATTTACAAGTTTGCAGCACAGGCATTCTTCACTCACAGCCCCACTCACCTTTAGGTATGGGAATATAAAAAGTGGCAAGGATCTCTAGAGGAGGGCTGGAGGTCTTCTGCCAGGAATGAGTGCAGAAAATTAATTTGGAGCTAAAGTAGGACTCCTTATGAAAAATTGGACTGTGGGTTTGGATAAAATTAATCTCTCCTGAAAAAGACCAGCAAGGCCTTTAAGACTGCCCTTTTAAAAAAATTTACTTGCTTTAAAAAAACTACACTAAGAAAAGCAGCAGCAAGCAAAAAGAGAAAGGAACACCACCACCAACAAAACTGATTACCAAATGTCTAGTTCAAGTTTTAAAGATAGCATTCAACCTTGACTACCTGGAATAATATTGGCCAGGCTTTCCATTATGGCAATGCCAATCTATAAGCAGAGAGCAAAAAGACATGATTAATCTGAGACTGTAAGTTGGGGGTGGCACTATCTTTCCATCATAACAGAATGATCCTCTTTGTTACCCCTGGTCCATGCTCAATAAATTCATATTCTTCATACAGTGATAAATTCCAACTTTTCAGTATATAATTCAATATATTTGACCCCATTTGTCTTCCCTAAACCTTATTAAGAAGTGTATGGCTATCATAACAGAATGGGGCAATAGTGGGACAAGCCATTACAGTGTAATCCATCTGGTCCTGGAGACTTGAATTCATTTAAATTGTCCAAGTTCTCTCTTATCTTTTCTTGTCTATCCTAAACTGCAGTTCCCTCATTCTCCAGTGATATAATAATAAGCAGCTAGGGCTCCATTTCCTTTCTGAGAAAAGACAGAGTTAACTTAACTTCTTCAGAATTAAGAAGTTCTCTTTTCTCATTATCAACTACGATCAACTCACCATCAATCATCATTCATTATTTTTTCCTCACCATGGACCTGCACCCTCTTTGGTTTTCTTTCTTTTTTCACAGTGTACCCAAATAAACACTTTTTTGTTATATCTTTCAAGCCACAGCATTAGCCTTTCTGGCACTGTCCCTACAGTTTCTGGACACAACCTTGTATTTTTCTTTGATTTTGTTCCCCCCATTTCATTTCCCGTACAGGTAGTCCCTGGGTTAAGAACGCCTGGATTACAGATGACCTATAGTTAGGAATGGAGCCTATTGTAGCAAAATTCCAGTTAAATACACAATGATTCGAGTTAAATACACAATGGTTCAAGTTAAATA